ATCCTCTGCAGCGTTTGTCCCCACCATCAGGGCCACAGCGTCCCTACTATCTCCAGAGGGTCCCTACGTCCACTCCTGCCTGGCTCTGTGGCCTCCTTGCTCCTGTAATTTTTCTTCCCAACAGAAGGAGGAGCACTCTGGGCAGGGGCCAGGGCTTCCCCACTTTGGGGTCCTGTGACTGTCACAGCAGTGTAATCTTTATCAGGCTCTTGTCAGAGGCAGTAGCCAGGTGCAAGTGTGGCCACCAAAGTGTAATTAAAGTGAAAGAAAACTAAAACCTCAGCTCCTCTCCTTGGCCAGGTGTGCTGTGCTTGCCTGGTATCCCAGCACTAAAGTCTGAGGCAGGAGGATCGCAGGTTCTAGGCCAGCCCCAGCAACTTAGCAAGACTAAGAAAACAGAGTGGGGTGGGCTGAGACTGTAGCTCTGTGTAAACGCGCTGGGTTCAATCTCCAGGTATGCAAAAGGCAAATGGGAAAATTACTTCAGTACCACAAACGAGAGCTTCATAGCCATGGGTGAGCAGTGGTGCTGTGACCAACAGAAAGATCTAGAATGTTCTGTCAGGGCAGAAACTCCTAGCGAGTGAAGTCCCGCCCAGTAATGGTGCTGACAGGCTGGTCTTGAACTCACTATGTAACTGTTGCTGGGCTTGAACATGCAGTGGCGATCCTCCTGCCTCAGCCTCCCAAGTGCTGGGATTACCAGCATGCACCACTGTGCCTAGCTTCAATGCATCCTCTTGTTGGCAGGGTCCCAAGTGGGAAGGTGGGGTGCTGGGGGCGGCTGGGCTCCCTGGGGTTGGCTAGGGAGAGGTACAATGAGCCTGAGCTCTGTGCCCAGGTGACTGGACTGAGTGTGACCAGCGGACAGGACCAGCTGGTGGTGCTGCACGCACGGAACCAGGATGACCTTGTGGTGTGTCTGCACCGCTCCCACCCACCGCTGGACAACCGCATCGGGGAGCTGGTGGGCGTGCTGGCCGCGCACTGTCAGGGGTGAGCCTGGGGGGTGGGAATGGGGCTCAGAAAGTCCCATGAGCCCCCCTGAGCCCTGCCCGCCTGACCCCCCCCCCCACTCCTGCTGCAGGGAGGGCCAGGCACTGGAGGTGCGCGTCTCCGACTGCATCCCACTGAGCCAGCGTGGGGCCCGGCGCCTCGTGTCGGTGGAGCACAGGCCCGAGCAGCCGGAGCCGGACTTCCGCTGCAGCCGTGGGGCCTTCACCCTTCTCTGGCCAAGCCGCTGAGCCCCTCGTGCAGCCATGACACCCAGTCCGGCCACTTGGAAGCCAGCACAGCTGTCCCTACATGGTGCTGCACACTGATTAATAAAGATGCAATGTCCACGTCCAGTGCGGTCAGACCTGGTAGATGGGCAGTGTGGGCGTCTGGTGACTCCCATCACTGCTGGTGGGAGGGGGTCTCCCAATCTGGAGGATGTGGCCTGGAGCCCCATCTGGGTGGGCCTGAAGCCTGTGGTCTGAGCATGGCACCATCCCTGGGTATGTGGAAGCTCTAGACCCCCCGCTAGCCACAGGGACCCCGTCCCCCTGCCTCACCTGTGGCATCCTGGTCACAGCCCCACACTCAAGGAGACTGCAGCCCAGGGTCACTGCTGTAAGCAGGTTGTGGAGGCCACTGGGGCACAGAACAGCCCTGGATTGTCATGAGAGAGGCTGGTGGCAGGGCCAACAGCTCCTTGGCCACTCACTGTCTGTGCCAGGTTACTAGTGAGGTGTGGGAGGTGGGACTCGCTCCCCAAAGGGCTGCTGAGAACCTGGGTCAGGCAGCAGTAGCACCCACTGGCCAGGGCCACAGGGGCCGGAGCCGTGTCTTCAGCCCCTCACTCCCTCAGCCTCCAGCCTCCATTTTCCCCTCTCCCACGATGTTGCTGGGACCTCCCTTCTGGGACTCAGGTTGGGGTCATACCCTTGCTCATTTGTACGGCAGCGTCGAAGTTCAGCGTCTGTCACCAGGACCTCTGAGGCACAGGGACTGAGGATTGCCCAGTGCCCATGCAGCCAGATATCTGCAGGTACTGGCAGCTAAGGTGCCCACCCTGTATCTCCAGGAGCCACCACAGTGCCACCCACCCCAAATCTGGCAGCTTCTGAGCAATCCAGCCCCTCAGAGCAATCGGACACGAAGGGTCCCCTGGGCTGTCCTGGACATTAGCCGTGTCCCTGGTCCTTTGAGGAATGCCTTGTCAGAGCACCCAGCAGCATCTGCTGGCTTTTGTCCAAATGCCTTCCCTGGAGCCCTGCCAGGGCTGTGGGGTCAACACCCTTTTCAAACAAAGCCTCCTGGGTCCTTAGGGAACCCTAAGGCGGGTATGCATGTGTGCACACAGAGCATGCACAGTCAAGCATTCCTGCAGCACAAGATTTCAGGGCACCCAGGGGTGCAGGAGGCCAGGCCACTGGTATCTGCCCTAGGGCACCATTCATACATGCCCTATGTCACTCTGCAAACCTTTGCATGGCGCTCAGCAAGTGCCATCTCTAACACTTCCAGAGTGTCCTCCACATGATACATCATCACCAACACCCTAATTCCAGGTGAGGAAAGCATTTCCAGGACTTTCCTAGCACCTCATTTCCTAAGGGGCGGGTGCCAGGACTCCCTATACCAGTGACCTCAGTGACAGGCCCACACAATCCATTTCAACACACAACGTAGGTGGTGCCATCGGACAGGAGAGTCATTTTGTATTCAGGAGTGACACCTGGGTGTTGGGATGTGGCCACTGATGTGAGACAGCTTCTCTGCCTGTCACAGCCCATTCACATGTCCTACTAGGAAGTGGTGAGGTACACCTGTGATCCTAGCACTTGGGAGGCTGAGGCAGGAGGGTTGCTGCAGGTTTGATGCCAGCCTGGGCTACATGGTGAGTTCAAAGGGACAATCCTAAAGGTGGCCTTTGTCTTCTTCTTCTTTTTTTTTTTTGTTCATTTTTGGTTTTTTGAGACAGAGTCTCACTATGCAGTACAGGCTGGCCTTCACCTTGCTATGTAGATATCTTTTTTAAAATTTAAACTTAAATTAGTCTCCTTCCAACAAACGCTTAGACTTAATTCTTGTAATTATCCTTGGATATGTGGCTGCTGCTTCTTTATTAGCATTTAACTTTCAGTCCATCCCAGTCACCACTTGATAAATGTGCGATTCAGTAATTTTACTGTATTCATGAGGTCTTGTGACCAAGCATTGTGGTCTCACCTTGGAGTGAGAGGTGGGATTTTCATACATGCATACAACATCCTGATCATCTCAACCTCCCTCTACCTTGCTTCCTCCTCCTTGCTCCTTTTTCTGGTCTGGTAAATTTCCTTTAGGTTTATTGTAATCCCAATAATGTAATCTCTTACAATATGGTAATCCAATTACTGCACTCCGTCTTCTGACCTCCTGGAGGTCCGGGAGGTTTTATATTTGTAAATCCCATTGAAACCTTGCTGGAATCCCAGTGAGTTAACTGCAATCTGCCACCTCCAGTGCAACCCCACAGTGAGCATAAAGACACTAAGATATATTCATAGTTACAAGCAGCCGAGGGGTCCTGAGTCTGGTCCAGGTGAGGATACAGGGAACAAAGGCCTTGATCCAAGGCCTCACCCAGCGTTTATTAACTTGTAAAGAGGGAGTGGCTGGAGGATGAGTGACAGGATGGCAGGAATTTCATGACTAACTGAGCTGAGCTGGCCTGATGGAGAGAAAGCATCTCTGCAATATACAGGGAGAAGGGCGTGCAGAAAGACCAATCCACATTTTTAGGGGAGAATTTGAATGATTTAGGAGGCTGCTGTTTCAGTTTCTGATATGTAAACTTTTGTGCCCTGGGAAGTCATAGTCTCTCATCTTTTTTTTTTTTTTTTCTTTTTCTTGTTCTGTTGTATTTTTATTACTAACCAGGCCCGACCCTGCTTAGCTTCCGAGATCAGACGAGATCAGGCGCGTTCAGGGTGGTATGGCCGTAGACAGTCTTTCATCTTGAGGCTGGAACCCAGCTGATGTTCCTGGAGCTGTGTGGCTCTGCCATCCCGCTCTGTGCTCAACTGTTTACAGGGAACACAATTCATGGAGTCAGGAAGCTGTCGGCCGGCTTCACGGGTTATATATCAGGACCTCAGCCAGCCTTATTTACATTCTTAGAGCCAATTGAAGGGAGAAGGAAACAGCTCAGTCAGCTCTGTAGGTATTAGTAAATGGAGATAGGGTTCATTTAACTAACACAGAGGTAACTGTTCTGCATTCAAGCAGAGCTGCTCAGGTCACCTTCTACATCAGTTTTTATGCCACCTTTTCTTTTAGATTCCTTATATTAGAGAAAAGGTAGTATCTCTGAGTCTAGATTATTTTGCTTAACATGATCTCCACATCCAACCATTTTCCTGCAAATGACATAACTTCCCTCTTGTTTAAGGCTGAGTGATACTACCCCCGAAAAAAGAATTTTGTTTCCCAGTTTTGAGTAAAGGCATCAAGAATGAGAAGCACATGGTAGCCTAGTGTGGTGGCTCATGTCTGTAATCCCATCACTCAGGAGATTGAGGCGGGAGGGTCCTTGCAAATTCAAGATCAGCCTGGGCTACAAAGTGAGCTCGAGACCAGCCTGAACTGTGTAGTGAGACCTGTCTCAAAAAAAAAAAAAAAAAAAAAAAAAAAAACAAAAAAAAAACAACAAAACAAAATAAACAAAGAAGAAGCTCATGGTGGTACATGTTGGAATCTCAGTAGTCAGGAGGCTGAGATAGAAGGATTATGAGTTCAAAGCCAACTGGAGCTACATAATGAGTTTGCAGCCATCTTAGACTAATAGTGAGACCCTGGATCTAAACAAATACATTTATAAAAAACAAAAACCCTAAGAATTTCACCCACCTGTGGACGTGCTAGCCCTGACTGCATGGTGCGGCTCTGCCAAGGCCCCTGGGGCCTGAAAGCAGCCGCCTCAGCCCTGAGCGTTAAGCTCCAGGGAATGATGCCACCTGCTGATGCCAGCCGGCACTGCATCCTTTGAAGTCACCGAGTGCTGGGTGACCTCCTGTGACACGATCCCTGCTGGCCGCTGTTCATGGAAGATTTTCAGGCAGCCACAGAGATTAGAGCCGCGCTTGTCTAAAGGCTTTTCTGTCACTTTATTTAGGTTAAGAATCCTAAGTAGATTTACAGCACCTCTGAGCTCACACTGCCCAAGGGATAAATCACAGGCGGATTTACAGGTCTACACAGTGAGGCTGCATTGAACAGGACCTGGGCTACCATGCGGGAGAAGAGAGTCACGTGTGAACAGAGCCTTTGGAGACCAACAGAGGCTGCTTACAGAGCACCAGCAGGTCTGTGACTGGGTCCCTGTTTGAGACTGCTAATTAGTCCAAATCCATGACTGTTGTTAATTGGCCTACTTGTTCTAATCTCAAGCCTTCCGAATCCAGCGTGCTGATTGGTCCAAATTCAATTCTACGACTTGGTTCAGATTCAAGCTCACTGCAGGTTAAGGCCAGCACCTCCTGGAGGGGACCTGGCAGCCTGCGTTTCCATGCAAATGGCGGGGCCAAACAGGGGGTCCCGGGAGGCTGGCCAGGTCGGGATGTTAACGGGTCTGGATGTGGAAGGAGAGGGCTGTGAGGGGAGGGGCATGACAGCTGTCAGCCTGACCAGGGGGACAGGCAAGACACTCTCCTCTGTCTCAAGGCCAGGCCTCCGTGGCCTGCTTGCCAAGTGGTGCTGCGGTGGCAGAGGGCCAGCTCCTCCACGCCAGGCGGCGCTGCTGAGCCGGAGTCTGCTGCCGGGCAGCCAGCAGCGTCCCAGGGACTCGGGCTCCTCGAATCAGGGACTGACGAGGCTGCGTCCAAAGAAGAAAACGCAGGTCCCATCAGCGCTGATTTTTTTTTTTTTTTCATTTTTGCTTTTGAGACAGCGTCACCTTGTTGCTTGAGGTGGTCTCAAACTCCTCGGCTCAAGCGATCCTCCTACCTCAGCTTCCCCAGCAACTGGGACTCCAGACATGCACCACCTGAACACTAGCACTGTAAAAGAGGCTGTGACTACAGGAAGCAGCTCTGCTATGATGGCCTTGGTCCTTGTCTTTCTTTTGCTTTTAATAAATTTTTCTTTTCTTAAAAAAATGAGAGGGGCTGGGGATTTAGCTCAGCGGCATAAGCGCCTGCCTTGCAAGCAGGCAGTCCTGAGTTTGATCCCTGGTACCGATAAAGACAAAAAAAAAAAAAAAATGAGGTCTAGGGGCTGGTGATTTAGCTCAGTGGCATAAGCATCTGCCTGGCAAGCACCAGGTTGTGAGTTTAATCCCTGGCACAAAATGTAAAATGAGGTCTTGCTATGTAGCCCAGGCTGGCCTTGAACTCACTGTAGCCCGAGCTGGCCTTGATCTTAAAGCAATCCTCCTGCCTCAGCCTCCTGGGTGCCGGGATTACAGCTGGGGGCCACCACACCTGGCCTGATTGTACCTTTGACCAGAATTACTGAAATGAGCCCACAGATCTTTCCAGACTGTTTGTTTTGTGTTTTTGTTTGTACCAGGGATTGAACTCATGACCTTGTGCTCACCAAGCAGATGCTTACACTGCTGAGTTAAACTCCTAGCCCCATTTTGTTGTTTTTTGAGACAGGATCTCACTGTGCTGTTCAGGCTGATCTTGAACTCACTATGTAGCCCAGGCTGGCCTGGAACTTCACAGCAATCCTCCTGCCTCAGCCTCGAGACTGCTGAGATTATAGGCGTGTGACAGCACACCCAGCTGTAGGTCTGCTGTCTTCTCTCATCTCAGAGGGGAGAAGGCCTTTTCCTAGCACCGTCGGGGAACTGGGGGAGTCTCCACTGACACCCAGAGGTGTGGCCTTGCTTGACATCCGTGTTTCCCCTGGAAAGTGGGCCTTGAATTGCACAGCATCACCCTTGGATGGCTGTGGATACAGATGCGAATGATTTTATTCACTGAGGTGTACTAACGTCATTCAGGGCAAACCCCGGCACTGCTAATCCTCTCGACCTTCTTTTATTTGCCTGAGGCATTTTCATAACTCACACTCTGAGAGCCCTTACAGAACAAGGACCACAAGTACAGCAGGCCCTGTGTGAGACCTGCATTTTGAGACACTGGGTGTTGGGCAGCAGGGCTGCAGAGTCAGGGCTGGGATGAGGATGAATGGGTTTTGCCTTTCTCCTAAGGTCACACACACAATGTCTATCCCAACTAAGAATTTCCTCCAGCATTCGGGTAGCTGAGGCAAAAGGATCCTTGCAAGTCCTAGACCCACCTGGGCTACAAAGCAAGCTCAGGTTCAGCATGAACTATGTGAGACCCTCTCTCAAAAAAAAAAAAAAAAAAAAAAAAACAAATTCCACACCTGATTTTCAGCTGCCCCTTAGAGTTTTTTGGTGGGAGGGACAGTTCTGGGGATTGAACTCACAGCCTTCGCCCTGAGCTACCTTCTCAGCCTTGTTTTTATTTTAAATTTTGAGACAGGATCCACTAAGCCCAGGTTGGACTAAGGAGAGATTGTAGATGAAACTTGGGAGAGTTTTGCTTGCCTTTGAAATCCAAATGTCTGGGAACCAGCAATCTAAAATAACGAGTCCGAGAGAAATAGAAATCAACCCACACAAGAAATTTAAGACCAGCTCTGAAGAAGGCTGTGGCAAAGGCAACATCTCCACCCCAGATTTTGTGATTACTACATCCATCCTGGGGTGCTGGTAGCCTGCTTACAATTCAAGGGAGGAAAAGAGGCTCTCTCTCCCCTCCTGCTCTCGCTGCTTTTGCTGTCTTCTGTCACCTTGACATCTACACCACACCACCTTGCCTTGGAGCCAGCTGACTGAAACCTCGACACAGACTGTGAGCAAAATAAACATTCCTCCCTTAATTTTGGGTGTCAGGTATTTGGCCCAGCAAAGAGAGAAAAGTAACCAATACAACTACATAGTGACCCTTTCTATAAATACACACATACATATATGCATATATACATACTAAACATCTTCCCCAAACACAGATGGCAGCTTAGTTAATGTACGATCATTATTCCAATCACCCTGTAACAGGCAACAGAGTTAGATAGAAATATAGGTAGTCAGACAAGGCTGAGTCCTCAAAGGAGCTAGTGCAGAAGGCCAGACATGTTGCAACTGTAGGATAGACAGATGCCTCTGCTGTGGGCCAGATCTCAAGACAAAAGATAAATCAAATGTACCCACATACTTCCTACGGATAAACATCAGGAGTTGATATTCTAACAGGGTCTCTGACACCCTGAGGAAGCCAGGAGTCACCATCCCAACCCCCTACAGGAAAAGCACTGCTCTGTATGGATGCCCGCTTGTTACGGGACTCGCTTCCCCATTTGTCCCCGATTTAATCAATTTTACCTGAGCAATTAATCTTACTGGTTGACCATAGCTCTGTCCCACCTCTGCCAACCTTTCAAGTTCCCATTTTTTCCACCTTAGACCCACCTTACTCTGTGGCTTTACTCTAGGGAAGTCCCTACAAAAGAGAGCCCCTGGCAACCCACCCAGTACCCCTTCTGTCTCTCCCAGACAGAAGCTTACTTTTTCTCAAATACATTCTGCTCCATTGTTCCTAAAGTTCATTCTTCAGTTTTAGACAACCCGAACTCTTGCCAGACATCTAGCAGGCTGGGAGTTTCTTTCCTCTGTATCACTCTCCTGCTGTCCACCACGGTAAGGAGAAGCCCAGGTCCCCAAGTGGGCCCAGTCCCAGCCCTGCCTGGGCCACCCTAGCCAGTGTGAGAAGCATCAGAAGGCCCTGGCCCCTACCTCCACAGCACCCATGGGCGTCCCCATTGAGTCCTGCTCGACTGTGGAGTTTTGAGTAGTCAGGCACTGTGGCAGATGCCTGTAATCCCAGGAAGCCATGGGCCTGTAGTCCTGGAAGGCTGAGGCAAGAGAATTGCAAGTTTGAGCCCCAGTTCACTTAATTTAGCAGTTTAGTGAGACCTGGCCTCAAAAAGCTTTTTAACAAAAAAAAAGTTTTTAGAGGTGGGGGAATGTAGCTAAGTGCAAAGGTCTTGGGCTCAATCCCTAATACCAGTATGTATTGCTTTTAGCCACTAAGTTTTGGCAGTGGGAACCCCCGGGACTCAGGAGTAGATGATGTCAAGGTTGAGCCCTGATTATAGCAGAGGGAGCAGGAGGACAGGGTGTGGGGAGACCCTGCCACAGGGCTCTCTTCCCCTCTATCTGGGGGTACAGGAGTCAACCCAGTGCATCACACATGCCAGGCACCCACAATGACTGAGCCAGGCCCCCAGCCCCATACTGGCTTCCTGGGTTGTGAAAGATTCCTTTATCATGTGTGTTTGCAGAGAAGCTCTCCCAAGAAACATTGGTGAGCGTTTTCTATAAAAGCTACAAAACCCTGCGGTTTTATACAGATCCAACTGCTCGCCTTCCCGGGTGCTGAACCAGGCTCTGTGCAGACAGCGGGAGGCTCCGTCCTCTCCGACTGCCATCTGCAAACCTCATGCCGTGCCCTATGCAAGTGTCAGCCATGCTCAGTGAGAAGGGACAAGGCGACAGCGCCAAGCAGGGGTCCACCATGGCCTGGACCCTGGCTAACGGGCAACAGTCAGACCACAGTGTTGGGGAAAGATTCAGAGAGCTACAATCGGACAGGAGACCAGGCCTGTAATCCTAGCAACCTAGAGGCTGAGGCAAGAGAATCACCAGCCTGTGCTACATAGGAAGACCCTGCCTCAAAAGAAAAAGAAAAAAAAAGACAGGAGAAGTGGCACATAACAGTGGTTCCAGCTACTTTGAAGGCTGAGGCAGGAGGATCCCTTGAGTCTAGGAATTCAGCCTGGGCAATGTAACAAGAGCCTGCCTCAAAATACAAACAAAACAAAACAGAACATAAGCAGAGCTCTGGGTTGGGGATTTAGCTTAGCAGTATAAGTACCTGCCTTGCAAGCAGGTGGTCATGAGTTCGGTCCCTGGTATCGATTAAAAAAAAAAAAGAAAAGAAAAAAAGAAAGAGAGCAAAGCTCTACAGTGTGTGTTACAGGATCTGCCAGCTGTCAGTGCTGCAGGTTTACCGAGTAAAAACAGCTGTTCATTAGTGGCACGTGCCTGTCATTCCAGCACTCTGGGACGCCTGAGGCAGGAGAACTGCAAGTTCAAACACAGCCTGGGCAACTTAATGAAGCCTTGTCTCAAAATTTTTAAAAAAGACAAGGCCTGGGCATGCAGATCAGTGCAAAGACCCTGGGTTCACTCCTCAGTATGGCAGAGAGTGGGAACCCCAGCTGCTTATGTGAATTAGCTTACAACAAAATAAGAACTGGAAATGGCCTAAATGTCCAACCACAAAACATCTAAATAATGATACCAGACCATTTAAATTGCTATAAATAAATAAATAAATTTTTATTCAGGCTGGGGATATTGCTCAGGGGTATAGGGCCTGCCCAGCAAGCATGAGATCCTGAGTTCAATTCCCAGTGCATAAAATATAAAACAAGTTAGTCACTGAGATGACGAGAAACCACAGCCTCCTTTGTGCAGTACGGAGGAGGGGCGAGACAACTGTTTCGCTCTCAGTATCCTGTGTGTGACAACAGTGTGTCACCCTGGTACAGAAACAGACGCACACACTGTTAGGAAGCAGAAGCGAATCGGAAAACACAGACGGCAGTGGAGAGGAGGTGCATGGAATGACAGGACTCTAGGAATTTTTCTTTGATTTTGTCTTTTGTTTTTCAAGACAGGATCTTGCTATGCAGCCCAGGCTGGCCTTGAACTCAAGGTGACCCTCCTGCTTCAGCCTCCTGAGTGCTGGAATTTCAGGTGTGTACCATGTGTGAACCTTGTGAAATTAGTTTTCTTTTTTTTTCATCCATTTTATTTCAAAGAGAAAAAAACAAAAAAAATTTTTTTTCAAAGAGAAAGAAAACTAAAACAAAATTTCAAAACACACCAATCAGGAATTTTTTTTTCATTTTAAATTTCCTTTGGGAACTTTTTAGTAAGTTTTTAACAAAATATAATTTTAAAACGGCTTCTACTGCCTCAGTTAATACTGGACTAAGCAAGAAAGCAGGTCAAGGGGTTGGGGATTTAGCTCAGCGGCATAAGCACCTGCCTTGTAAGCAGGCAGTTGTGAGTTCGATCCCTGGTACCAATAAAAACAAAAAAGACAAAAAAAAAAAAAGAAAGAAAGAAAGAAAGCAGGTCAACCAGTGGAGGACAAAGAGGTGGGGATCTCCTGCCCTTGTGCCGGCCAGCAGGAAAAGACCCCTCCCGAAGCAGCCACCCTGCCAGGCCGCCCTGCCTCATCCAGGACAGGGCAGCCATGCTTTGGAACAGGGTCCACTGAGGCTGTGGCGGCCGGGCTCTGGCCGACGTTGACTCCATTTCTGATCCTGAGGAAGCAGATGGTGTGATGTGGCCTCTGACAGGGACGGTGGGCAGGGCTGGGGCCTCAGGGGACTGGTCTCAGCCACCCCACAGAGCCCACAGCTGGGCAGGATGTGCAATGCGGCCACCACACACGCAAAGCAAGCAGGTCCAGCAGTGACAGGAAGTCAGGGCTGGTGAGCTGGAGGTGGCCCATGTGGAACCCTCCCCCAAGCCATAGCCAGCAGTGGGCAGGGACTGGACCTGTGCAGGGACAGCTCCACCGTGGAGCCTGGTGGCATCAGTGGGAAGGTGGCACCACCGGGAGGGCAGGATGGCCTGGATTTATTATGTACACTAGGGTGACCTTGACCTTAAAGCAATCTTCCTGCCTCAGTCTCCTAGTGATAGGATTATAGGCATGCATCATCGTGCCCTGATAAATTAGCAGATTCTTGTTTCGTTTTGTTTGATACAGGGTCTCATGTAGTGTAGGCTGGCCTCAAACTCATAGTGATCCTCCTGTCTCATTTGCCTGAATGCTGGAAGTACAGGCATGTGCCACCAAATCCAGCTGAATTAGCAGATTTTCAATAGATGATGCTCCATGGTATGGGTGGCCCTCGCCTAATCAGTTGAAGGCCTTCAAAGCCTGCGGTCTTTTAAGAGAGGATTAGGGCCTCAGATAGCCTTCAGACTCCAGCTGTAGTGTCACCGGCACTCTGGTCTCAAGTTTGCAGCCTTCCCTGCAGGTTCCAAATGCAATCCTGACATGACAATATGTGCTAACTCCTTAAAATGAGTCTCTCAGATAGACAGGTAAATCTTAATTCTGCTCATGAAACAAAAATTTACTGTTCAGAAGGCTGATGCAGGAGGATGTCAAGTTTGCAGCCAGCCTGGGCAACACAGCAAGACCCTCAGGCTCCATCTCAAAAAACTGGGGCTGTGGCTCTGACAGCACTTAGTATGCACTGGAGCCTGGGTTCATTTCCAGCACAAACAAAAAATAAAACACTCAGTGCTACACATCATTTGCATAGTAGGATTTGGGTTTTTTTTTTTTTTTTTTTTGTCTTTTTCATTTTTTTTATTGGTACCGGAGATCGAACTCATGACCGCCTGCTTGCAAGGCAGGTACTTATGCCGCTGAGCTAAATCCCCAGCCCCACATAGTAGGATTTGTAATGTGTGTGTGTGTGTGTGTGTGTGTGTGTGTGTGTACACACGCATATATATGTATATATGTATATATATACATACACATGTTATTTCTCTCAGCTTCTCACACTGAGACAACACAATGTTTACAAATGTGAGTCTGATTTATTTCACTTATGAGTACAGTCTCAAGTTGCACCCATTACCTATAAAGGCCTCAAGTTTGTTCCTCTTTATGCTGAGTAGTAGTCAATTGTATAAAAATACCACATCTTTTTAAAAATTTTTTTATTTTTTTTGGCGCTGGGGGTTGAACTCACGACCTCACACTTGCCAGGCAGGCACTTATGCCACTGAGGTAAATCCCCAGCCCCACATCTTTTTTTATCCATTCCTCAGTGGATGGGCATTTCCAAAATCTGGCTATTACAAATTGTGCTGCTATAAACATAGGTGCACATATATTTTTATGGTATGATCTTTTTATTTCTTTTGGGAAGATACCCAGGAGGGAAGTAGCTGGGTTAAATGGGACCTCTAGTCCTAGTTTTTTGAGGAATATCCACACTGATTTCCATAGTGGTTGCACCAGTCTGCATTCCCACCAACAGTGGAGAAGGGTTTCTTTTTCCCTGCAGCCCCTCCAGCATTTGTTATTGCTTGATTTCTTTTTTTCTTTTCTTTTTTTTTGGAAACAACGGCTGTGTGACTTTTTTTTTAAACTTTTTTTTTTTTTTTTTTTTTTTTTGGTACCAGGGATTGAACTCACAACCGCCTGCTTGCAAGGCAGGTGTGCTTATGCCACTGAGCTAAATCCCCAGCCCTCATTCCTTGATTTCTTGATGACAGCCATTCTTTCTGGGGTGAGATGGAATCTCAGTGTTGTTTTAATTTACATCTCTCAAATGACCAGTGATGTTGAACATTTTTTCACATATTTATTTCTTGTTTGCATTTCTTCACCTGAGAAGTGTGTGTTCATCTCAGATGCCCATTTTTGGGCTGGGTCTTTAAATCTGGGAGGACTAATTTTCTTTCTTTTTTTTTCTTTCTTTTTTTTTTTTTTTTAGTTCTTTTACATTCTCAATAATAATCCTTTGTCTGAGGAACAGCTGGCAAACAGTTTCCCCCACATTGTGGCTGTCTCTTCACTCTGTCAGTGATCTTTGCCTACACCAGTGTCTTTGAGCGTTTTACCTACTCTATCTTCCAGCAGAGTTAGTGTTTCTCTTTTAGTAATAAGATCTTTGATCGTTCTGATTTTAGCTTAGTGCATGGTGAAATATACGGGTCCAACTTTAATCCTCGGCATGAGCAGAGCCAGTTTTTCCAGCACCATATACGAAAGATGCTGTCTTTCTCCCAGTGAATGTGTTTGGCATCTTTGTCAAAGATAAGGTTGTTTAGTGTGTCTGGAGTTGCTCCTTCACCTTTAATCTGTTCCATCGATCTTCGAGTCTGTCTTTGGCCGGTACCACACTGTTTTGATCACAGTAGCTTTAGGGCAGAGGTCTTGAAGCTGCGTTAATACCCGCTGCACTCAGCACCTCTCACCACGGCTTTCAGGTTCACAGCTCTTTCTGTATTTACTCTTGGGGCTGCACTAGAAGGGAGAGCTCTCCTGGCTCCCCTGTTTGTTTATTTACATCGGCACATGTGGGTGGAATCCCACTCCGTCCTGTGGAGCTGTCACCACCACTATCTATTTGAGTTTTTTGTTTGTTTGTTTGTTTTTGGTACCAGGGATTGAACTCACGACTCCATGCTTGCCAGGCAGGTGCTTATACCATTGAGCTAAATCCCCAGCCCTACCACTATCTATTTGGTGCTTAAAATGATCTCAAACTTGGCCGTGAGCAGTACCCTTTTGATAAGTCCCTTCTTTTTGAGTCGTAGGGACTGAAGTTAGGACCTTCACACCTAGTTACATCCCCAGTGCCCCACTTTATTTTGAGATGGGGTCTTGCTAAGTTATTAAATGAACAGGTTGGGTCCAAAGTTGCAACCCTCCTGCTTCAGCCTTCCAGAGTGCCAGGATTACAGGCAGGCACCACCACTCCTGGCTCCCTCTCCCCAAGCCCTGGAGTCAGTCATGTCACCAGCTCCATCTGGGTGCTTTCACTGGAGAACCAAGCTAAGAAGCTGAGATCTGGATGCTGGATGTGTCTTTCCCATGGGGCATCCCTGGCTCTAGGTGTACACAAACACACATACACACCTAGGTGTCCACCTGTGTATATTCCACACTACCAGAGTGTGGTGTGTGTGAGCACAGATGTATTTTTGTGTCTACTTGTGGAAATGTGTACGTCTAGTCCTACGTGTCTGCATAGTTCTGTACTTTTCTGCCTGTATGTATTTGTGTACATGAATATATACAAGGATGTATTTATTCTTTTTTTTTTTTTTTTGGTACTGGGGATCAAACTCACGACCTCGAACTTGCCAGGCCAGCACTTTTTCTGCTGAGCTAAATCCCCAGCCCCTACTTATTCATTTTTAAAAAAATAATTTCTCATAATGAGGATTCTTCACACTGAACTAACCACAACACCAGCCCTTGTTACTTACTTATTTATTATTATTATTTTGTTTTTGTTTTTTTGAGACAGAGTTTTGCTGTATAGTTCAGGTTGGCCTTAAACTCATGTTGATCCTCCTGCCTCAGCCTGCCCAGTGTTGGGATCACAGGTGTGTTCCACCATGTCTGACTGACAGTTTGTTTTGTGATACAGATGTTCATTTAACAACTGATGATTTCCATTCCTGTGACGTGGTCATTAACTGAACTGGTGTTTGTTTTGTTTTGTTTTGTTTTTTTTGGTCTTTTTCTTTTTTATCCGTACCAGGGATCAAACTCACGACTGCCTGCTTGCAAAGCAGGCACTTATGCCGCTGAGCTAAATCCCCAGCCCCACTGAACTGGTTTTTGTATGAAGTATGTACACTGTAACATTCAAAACAAAGACATGGTCAAAGGAAACTCCCACCTGAGGACTTTGCTTTTATTTGCATAGCTCTTACACACAGTATTGTAAAGCAAAAATACAGTACAATATAAACAAGGTAGGAGCTAGGTGTTGTGGTGCATGCCTGTAATTCCAGCACTCAAGAGGCTGAGGTAGGAGGATCCTGGTGAGTCAAGGCCAGCCTGGACTACATGGTGAGACTCTGTCTCAAAAAATAAACTATACTTTTCAAAAATGAATTTGAAGCTCTAGAAACAGGATGTACAGAACTGTCAAAAAAAAAGACAGCTTGTAAATCTGAGTGGTGGATCTTATGCCTTGGTTGTAAATCCAAATAGTAAATAACTCACTTTGTAGCTCAGGCTAACCTTGAACTCACTGTGATCTTCCTGCCCCAGCTTCCTGAGAAACAAGAAATATCTTATTGGGGTTCAAACCCCAGGCCTTTGCATTGTGCTACATCCCCAGTTCTTTTGGTCTCACTGAGTCTATGTGTGCATATTCTACATGTGTGTGAGTATACATACACTCGTATCTGGATCTCTCTGCATGGCTGTCTGTGCATAGGTGTGTTTGTTTATCTGTCTGTAGGTATGTGTGTGTGTTTTTGTATTTCTATACTTCTGCGTGAGTACAGATGCTTGTGTTTCTTATCATGTGTGTATGTGTGTACACACGCATGTAATGAAATCACGCATGGACACCAACTTTTCTGGCCTCTGCTCAATCCAGCAGGCTTTACTGACTCTCTGGGCTTTGTATCTGTGCAGCTTCCTCCTCAGCTCCTAGAAGACTCCTAGGCCATGTACCGTGAAGACAGCCGTCCAGTCGTCTGCCCTCACTCGGCCTGGCTCTGCGTGCTCTAGACTGGGGTGCAGCTGGGTCTGTGTGAGACTCTTGCCCTGATCGGGCAGAAGGGCAGATGGAGCAAGCAGGCGGGGGTCGCTTCTGAGCCAGAAGCCCCTTCTGGAAGGTTTGGGGAGGCAGAAATAGAATCCACAGGAAGACAGGGCGGAGTGGGGGGAGCGCTGGGATTTCTGGGCGAGTGAGAAGCTGGAACAGATGGGCTGCTGGCGGCTCTGCAGAAAGCCACGGCAGGCAGCGTAGCCAAGGGCGAACCTGTTCCCACAGCAGCTGGGCCAACAGCCCTACCTGGGGGATCTGTGCGCATGGCAGCTGCCCGAAGCCTGCACCCTCAGCTGTCCCCACACCCCGGGGGAGCCCAGGGAGGTGGCTGCCCCTCCAGAGCCCATGCGCAGCCTCTCCCCCATCCCGGGGTTCAATCTCCAGCCCAGGCCAGGCTTCCGGACCACACATCCCTCGCTGCTGTCTCTGACCTCGCTGCTGTAGGAGGCCCCTGGAAGGTTGTGTGTCTGGGGTTTCATCTCTGCTGCCCAACAGACGTACAAAGGCGGGTCTGGTTTATTTCTGTGTTCTCTGCACGCAACACTGGCTGAGGCCAGCAGCACCCTTCTGAGCCAGCCCCAAGGCTGTGGAGAAAGCTCAGCTGCCCCTTGGAGCCCATCAATAGCAGCAGCGACCCTTTCGTTCCCCCTTCCTCCCTCTTTCCTTTCTTTTTGAATCTGTAGCTCTTAGCCGGGCGTGGCAGCATATATCTGTAATCCAGCACTCAGGAGGCTGAGGTAAGAGGATCATTGTGAGTTTGAGGCTACCCTGGGCAACACAGTGAGTGCAACCAGCCTGAAATACAAAGTAAGACCCTGTCTCAAAAAAAAAAAAAATCAGAAACTGTAGCTGTTATTTTGACTTCTGTCTTAGTTGTGACTATCTCAGAAGTATCATTTTAAAAACTGTACCATCACACACACACACACACACACACACACACACACACACACACACACACCTGTCGCCTAGTTCCCCACCCACCCTCAGGCTCAGTGTATTTTCTGGTTTGTTTCATCTCCCCCGTCTCTCCCCCTCATGGTTCTTCTTTGCCCTCCTTCTACATCTCTTCCTCTTGCCTAGTAATAGTCTGCCTTCTACTTTTCGTTTTTGAGAGGAGGTCTCCCTGTGTAGTTCAGGCTGGCCTTGAACTCTTTATGCAGCCCAGGCTAACCTTGAACTCGAGGCCCTCCTCCTGTTCCTAAGTTCTGGGATCACAGGTTCCCTTCCACTTTCCTGCATCTCCTTTAGATTCCACATGTTAGGGACAGCATGTAACATTCATCTTTCTGAGTGTGGCTTATTTAGTTCAACATGCAGGTCTCCAAACGCACTCATTTTCTTGCAAATGACAGACCTGGCTGTTCCTCACGGATGAGGAATACCCTGTTCCATGCACACTGCCCATCGACGTGCCTCCAGGTCGCTCCCATAGCTTGGTGACAGTCAGTGCTGGCCCCCAAGGCACCTGCGCACACCTCGAGGTGCAAATGCACACCATCGCCCTGTACCTGAACCCTGGAAGCAGGGCAGCCCCCATGGGTGCCGCTGGATGCGGTTGCCCTGTGTACCTAGGTGGGGTATGGTGCAGAGTGGACAGGCGAGGAGGACTGGGAGCTGCCAGAGGGCGACCAGGTTGGCTGCTGAGGTTGAAAAACTGCTGCCTGTGGGAAGACTGGATCTGGGACAGAATGCTTGGCTGCAAACACCATGTGTAGCCTCTGCCCAGGGCCTGGGACAGGCAACCCTGTTGAACGGTGCAAGGACAATGATGTCACGATGTCACCTAAGCCTGAATGGGCAGGACCTGGCCAGAAGTGCCACAGCGGTGAGTGGTCAAGGCTCAGGGGCCCACAGGAGTCGCAGCAGCTCTGCTGGCTGCAGTTGCCACCCTGGGTCCCTGCAAGCCACCTCTCACTTGCCACCTCTCAGGCTGCTTTTACCCCAGATGGGTGAGGGCAGAAAAGGCCACGGGGTCCCACTGCTTCAGAGCCACTCAGCAGGAAAGCCCAAGAGGTGAGCATGGTTTCCACTGTGGATTTGGTCACAAACCCCTTGCACTGGCCCCCAGCCTCTTCCCAGTGACCCAGGGCCTCCAACTGTCTCTCCTGCTCCTGGCTGTAGGCACAGCCTGGCTGGACACGGGGGTGCAGTATGCTGGCAGCTGGGTGTCAGATGGGCCAGGGCGGCAGATGGGCCTAGAGCATGGCCAAGAAGCTCTTCCAAACTCAAGCGACGGGTCTACACGCTTCCAAATGTCACTGATCTGCGAGACAGACCCGGGTGGCTCCAGGTGGGACAGAGGCCACCAGCCACGAATGCTCTGGATTCTCCCAGGCAAGGCCTGAATCAATCTGCAAAGCAGGGAGCCGGCGGCAGTGTGACCACGCCAGTTCCTTGCCTGTGACCTTGGCACTCCAGTTAGATAAGTGGAGGTCTCCATCTTGGGAAAGAGATGCAGACTAGCGAAGCGTGAAGGGGCATCACTCCCACAGCTCACTCTCAAACAAGCCAGAAAGAAATACAAATATAGACAGAGATGGAGACAAACAGAGTCACAGGGAGTCGAGAGTGACAGAGAGAGAAAACAGAGATGGAGAAAGACGGGAGATAAAGACACAAAGACAGAGACCAAGAGACAGGTGATAACATGTGAGAGGTTATCATCAGGGGAATTTGTGGGAAGAGCCATTACTCTTGTGACTGTCCTTTAAATTTAAAGAAGTATCAGGGGTTTTGGGGGGGAGTAATTGTATTTTTATGGTGGTAAATACATAAAATTTACCTATTTATTTATTTATTTATTTATTGCCTTTTTGAGACAGGGTCTCCCTATGCAGGTCAGGCTGGCCTTGGGCTCACTTTGCAGCCCAATCTGGTCCCAAACTTGCAAATGAACCTCCTCTAAGTGCTGGGATTACAGGAGTGCACCACCACACCCAGCTTTTTTTTTTTTTTTTTACTGTTTTTTATTTTTTACATGTTTTATTAGTACATGTTTCAGTATATAATGATTATGGTTATTGTGGAGAGTTGGTCCATGTACATAACACATCTTAATTCTTCAAATTTCAAGCTCGAAATGGAAAAGAGCTGGGCATAGGATCCCATACCACTAATCCCTGAACCTGGGAGGCTGAGGTAGGAGGATCACAGCAAGTTCAAGGCCAGCCTAAACAGCCTGCTCAGAGACCCTGTCTCAAAACAAAACAATACAAAACTAAACTAAAATGGAAAATAACAAGAAAGAAGGCAAAAGTTATGTCTGCCCTTCTTCATCATCTTGGCCCAGTTCTCTCCAAAGCCCAGTTGGCTCCCCCATGCTGGCCATCCAAGGCTACTGCCCCAGGCCTGGCACCCCCTATATTTGGCAAGACCAACTCCCATCTGCTGCCCTGAGGCCCGGCCTTCTCCTAGCCATGGTGGCCAGGGCCAGGCAGCAGGGCTTCTGGTTGCCTGGCCCCACAGTGCCCCAGGACCACCTCTTTGGCATGTGGCCTGGCCTAGGGCCCTGTGGGGAGCTGCTGTAACTTCCCTCCCTCTCCCAGAAGCCCGCGTGGCTCCTCCTCCCTGCCCTGTTCCAGATGGAGAAGGGTGTTTCTCCAGCTCCTTCCCCAAGCCCCCATCTCCTGCTTGGCCCTAGGTCTCTCACTCAGGCTCTGATCCCTCAGTGTCCCTCACATCTCTGGGACACAGCAGCCTTTGTCCAGCTTCTCTGTGCACAGTCCTATCCTCTCTGCCCCCTGTCACAGATTGGGGCGTCCTGACCCACACCGTCACTTGCAAGCACTCTGACATCTGGCTTCCATCTCCTGCCCTGGCCCCATCAGAGACACAGCCTTCAGACTGGAAGACTGGAGCCCCAGTTCCTGTGTCACTTGCTAAGAACTGTGACTTCTAAGACACACGGGAAATCTTTATGTGGCCCAGCAGAAACGGCCAGGAGTGATCCATCATCACCTTCATCTTGCTTGCCTGTCCCTCTACCTGTCCGCTTGCAGCCCACAGCCTGCCCCTCACCCTGGGATGGGACTCACTTCTCTGGGTCCCTCAGCTTTGGGGACATCTCTCCTGAGGCAGCCAGCCAGCAAGAGCCAAGCTGGGTCCTGCTCCAGCCCACTCACACTGTATTCTGCTCTCTCCAGAGCCACCTAACTCTGGTTTAAGTGGCTCTGATGGCTGCCCGTTTGCTCTTCAACCAAGCCCCAGCTCCCCGCCTGCAAACCAAGGGCTCCGCAGCAACTCCAGTCATCACCCCCCACCCTGGTTCCATTGTTCACCACCCACTCCTTGAAGCCCCTGGGCTCCAGCCAAACTCCTTCCTACCATCTGGGGCCATGTGTTCCCTCTGCCCAAAATAACCTCCCCCATCTCCACCTGTTGAGATCCATCCTGGCAGGATTACTGAATAAATAGTACTGGGACAATTGGTTAGTCATTTGAAGGAAATGTTTTAGATTCTTCACTTCATGCTCGACATCAAAATATATTTCAGATATACTCAAGTTAAAGCAAAAAAATATAATCACGTATCTTTAAAAATTAAGCCTTTAAATATCTAAGTATAATATATTATTACATATAAAGTATAATAAATAAAAGCCTTTAAAATATGTGGTTATTGAATATCTGAAAGGAGACTATTCTAGGCTTTTTTGGTACTGGGGATTGAACTTACAACCTTGCACTGATCAGACGGGCACTTAGGCTACTGAGCTAAATCCCTGGCCCACCTCTCTGAAATAAAATGGATGTAAGAAAAGAATATTCTAGGCTGAAAAGCAAAGAATGAAATTTTAAAGAAAACAAGCAATCCATCTAACTCATCAATAGAAGTTGATTCATTAAAACCAGAGTGAGAGACTGGTAAGGAATAGTGGCTGGGCTGGAACCCACCTCAGGGTCTTCCACACAGGGAAGCTGCCTTAGGGTAGAAATCAGAAAGTTGAGGAATAGGATGGGCATTTTTCATCAAAACCCTGAGATAGGCTGGGAGTGGTGGTGCACGCCTGTAATCCCAGCACTCAGGAGGCTGAGGCAGGATTGCCACAAATTTGAGGCCAGCCTGTGAGTTCAAGGCCAGTTTGGACTACATAGTGAGATTGTATTTTTTGTCTTTTTCCTTTTTATCGGTACCGGGGATTGAACTCATGACTGCCTGCTTGCAAGGCAGGTGCTTATGCTGTTGAGCTAAATCCCCAGCCCCAAGATTGTATTTTTTTTTAAAAAAAGGACAAAAAAAAAAAATGGTTTCCAAGGGATCTGAAACATCAGCATCCTTGCCAGGCATGGAAATGTTTGAGACCAAACTCTGGACTCTCCTCCTCCTAGAAATTGGACATCAAATCCACCCTGTCTACAGGAGGATCCAAATCTGATCTCTACTCTTCACCTCTCTTGATGTACTGAGAACCCAATATAACTTACATACTGCCTAATATTTTTTAAGGATTATTGGCCAACAATCATATTTTTAGCGCATATGTTCCCTAACATCCTCCTTAATTTCCTTTTCCAAAACTAATAACTAAAGGGTAAAACCCAAAAAATAATAACTATTTTATGGGCTCACAATGTCTGCAAGTGAACTATGTTTCAGTGAGTTTGGGCACATCTATGAAACCACAACCATAACCAAGACAGAGAGTATCTCTGTCACTGCGTTGTTTCCTGCTGGACCTTTTCAACCTATGGCCCAATGGCTACTATCTATCTATATATAGAGAGAGATATCCATAGATATCTATAAGATAGATATCTATCTATATCTATAGATATATATAAAATTATATATATATATGTGACTTTTTTTGTACCAGGAATCAAACTCAGACCTTATGCCTGCCAGCCAGATGCTGTGCCACTCAGCTGCATCTCCCACCCATACATGAACTTCTAAACTTTTATATCCATACAGTCATACGCTGTGCTTTGTACAGTTATATGTTTACTTTCCTTAAAAACCTAGTAATGGACAGTTGAGAGTGGGCCACACGGTAGATAAGTTTACAATGCATGATCTAAACAATATAATCTGTGTCAATATACATACCCCATGAATATACATACCCCAATTATTGTTTTGGGGTTTGTTTTTTTTTTTTTTTTTTTTTGGTACTAGGGATCAAACTCACAAGCTTCTACTTGTCAGGCAATAGTTTATGCCACTGAGCTAAATCCTTGGCCCATTATTGTTTTGGGGGTTTTTTTGGTCTTTTTCCTTTTTATCGGTACCGGGGATCGAACTCACGACTGCCTGCTTGCAAGGCAGGCGCTTATGCCGCTGAGCTAAATCCCCAGCCCCCGACCCATTATTGTTAATTTAAACAAAAAATAACTTTAGGCTGCCACAGTGTTTATACCATTTTATGTTCCTATCAGCAGTGGTCCAGTTTCTCCACATTTCAGCTTTTCTAGTGGGTGGGTGTTCAGTGCTATTTTATAATGATATGAAGTTACATTTCACCAACAGTTTCATGCTCTTCCCAGCTACTGTATATTTTTTGTGATACCTGTTAACATCTTTTGCCTATTTTTATAGTTTTGTTAGTGTCTTTTATGTATTCCAGACAGCTAGACATCGGATACATAACTGCTACAGTTAAGCATGAGAGGGCGGGGGATTTAGCTCAGCGGCATAAACGCCTGCTTTGCAAGCAGGTAGTTCTGAGTTCGATCCCTGTTACTGATAAAAAAAGAATAAAAAAATTTTTAAAAAAGAATGAGAGAGCTGGGTGTGGTGGCGCACGCCTGTAATCCCAGCATTCGGGAGGCTGAGGCAGGAGGACCATTGAGAGTTCGAGACCACCCTGGGCTACAAAGTGTGCTCAAGGTCAGCCTGAACTGCATAGTGAGCCCGTCTCAAGACAAAAAAAAAAAAAAAAAAAAATCTGCCAGGCATGCTGGCCCACGCCTGTAGTACACTGAAGTACACTGAAACAGGAGAATGCAACATAGTCATTTCAAGGTAAGACTGAATGAGAAGTAAGATCTTGTCTCAGGCAAAAAGAAAAAGGTAACTGGCTTGGAAAAATAGCTGGTCAAGGTGACATAGATTCAACAGTGAGGCGGCACGCCTACACTTTTTAATGCTCTTCCAACATGGCCTCTGCGCACACTGCAATGCTCACAACCAAAGGTTCCACAGGAACTATTCATATTTTACATGTAAACACACTAAAGTCTGGCAGGGCGCACTGACGTAGGCCTCTGATGTGGCTAGGAGGTGTGAGGACAGCAAGACCTTGTGAACTGAACTATAAATCCCAAATCTCATCTTCCTAGCCATCTACATTAAACTCAGGATGGTCTTTCCGAAATTCGTCTCTGACCGCTCCATCTTCCCAGACTCCCCAAGCTTCAACTGTTCTGAGTTTACAGCCCGGGCACCGAGCCCCCATGCAGGGCTCAGTCTTCTGGAACCCTAAACCCAGGGGCAACCTGGCTGGTCCTCAGGCCTCCGGTAGGCCTTGTCCCTTGATCCTCGCCCGGTCACCCTCTCCCTCGCCTTCTGCAGCTCCCCTTCCCGCCGCTTAGCGCAGCGCGCAAACAGTCTCCGTCCACAGTGCCCGAACCGGGCGCGCCCGAGCGCGGGGAAAGCCGAGGGCGCTGGGAAAGAGTAGGCAAGTGGCTGCCCCAGGGACGCTCGGAGAAGGCTCCCTGGAAGCGCGCGAACACAGAGGCGGGGGCGGGCCACGGTGTGGCGCGCCCGTGATGTCACCTCTGCGCCCCGCCGCCGTGGCTCGCGAAGCTTCCGGCCGCCAGACAGGCGATGGGCGGGCTGAGGTGACGTCACCGGAAGCTACGCACAGGAAGCGGACCAAGCTGCACGGAAGCCGCGGGGGCGGGGCGCGGAGGCGATGTGGGGCGGCGGCGGCGGCCGTAGCCGGCGATGAGCGGCGGGTGCGCGTGAGAAGCCGGCGGGCGAGGCCGGAGGGCCCCGGAGCGCGAGCCGCAGGGCGGAGGGCGGGGGCGCGAGCGCGGCGGCCGGCGGTGAGGCGGCAGCCGAGAAGATGGCGGACGGCGACAGCGGCAGCGAGCGCGGTGGCGGCGGTGGCAGCAGCGGCGGGCCCGGCAGCTTCCAGCCCGCGCCCCGCGGCGGCGGCGGCGGCGAGCAGGAGACGCAGGAGCTGGCCTCGAAGCGGCTGGACATTCAGAACAAGCGCTTCTACCTGGACGTGAAGCAGAACGCCAAGGGCCGCTTCCTCAAGATCGCTGAGGTGGGCGCGGGCGGCTCCAAGAGCCGCCTTACTCTGTCCATGGCGGTCGCCGCCGAGTTCCGCGACTCGCTGGGCGACTTCATCGAGCACTACGCGCAGCTGGGCCCCAGCAGCCCCGAGCAGCTGGCAGCGGGCGCCGAGGAGGGCGGCGGGCCGCGGCGCGCGCTCAAGAGCGAGTTCCTAGTGCGTGAGAACCGCAAATACTACCTGGACCTCAAGGAGAACCAACGCGGCCGCTTCCTGCGCATCCGCCAGACCGTGAACCGCGGCGGCGGCGGCTTCGGCGCGGGGCCCGGGCCAGGCGGCCTGCAGAGCGGCCAGACCATCGCCCTGCCGGCGCAGGGCCTCATCGAGTTCCGAGATGCGCTAGCCAAACTCATCGACGACTACGGGGCTGAAGACGACGAGCTGTCAGGCGGCCCGGGTGGCGGCGGCGGGCCCGGGGGCGGCCTCTATGGGGAGCTCCCCGAGGGCACTTCCATCACGGTGGACTCCAAGCGCTTCTTCTTCGACGTAGGCTGCAACAAGTACGGCGTGTTCCTGCGAGTGAGCGAGGTGAAGCCGTCCTACCGCAACGCCATCACTGTGCCCTTCAAGGCCTGGGGCAAGTTCGGAGGCGCCTTCTGCCGGTACGCGGATGAGATGAAGGAGATCCAGGAGCGACAGAGGGATAAGCTTTACGAGCGCCGCGCTGGGGGGAGCGGCGGTGGCGACGAGTCTGAGGGCGAGGAGGTGGATGAGGATTGAAGCGTGCGGCCTCCCCCACCCCACCATCGTCCCCTTGGCTGGAGAGCTCTCTTTCCTGCTCATCCGCGGTGAGCTCATGGAGAGAGAGCGAGGGAGGCCGCCGAAAAGAAAACAAAACAAATAATATAGTTAAGAGAACAGTCGAGGACAATACGAGGAAATAAGTAAAGTTACAAGGAACTGACAGCAACCTGCAAAGAAGGACAACAGCGTCTCCTCAACCTACAAAAGTTTGAGCTTGTTTCCCAACCCGGGTTCCTAAATCCATCAGGTGAACCATGGAGCTCTAGAGTAGATCTTTGAACATCTGGTTCCCAAAACATCTGAGTGTTCCCAGACCCCACCCATTGATAGTTGAATTTGTGTTGTACCTGGGTAATCTCAAGATCTCACTAGGCCTCATCACTGTTGCAGTGTCTTCACCTCCATTGAAATCAGCATTTTGGATTTGGATCTTCGTGGAGTCTTTAGAAGAAAGAGGCCTTTGCAGATACCCAGTTCTGGGGTGCAGGTTTATGGAAAAGAATGCAACTTTACACAGTCACGGACAGGGCAGAAGAATAATTTGAGAAGCCACTGAAAATGCAGAAAAACAATTTGAATCCATTTTTTAGAAAATGGTTCTGCATGAAACCTGGACCAAGGCCCATGTCTTTAATTTGCAGAATTGTTTTCTAGGGTGCAAATGAATCCGGCTATCAATGCTTCAACAAGAATCCATTACTAAAACAGTTTTTACAAGTTGGCAAAATTATTTTTTCCACAAATAAAAGCAAGTTTATGTTGGGGATTGCTGAGGTAGGCACAAGAAGTCAGACATAAAGCACAAGGCAGACTGTTTGAGTGGATTGGTTGCTGCTCACTAAAGTTCTTCCCTTGATCTCTAAGTATGGAGGTCATTACCAAGAGATGGCTTGGATATGACTGAGAGCCAGATCCCTATGGCTCCAACGTAGGAGCCAGTGAATTATGGCTAATTCGGCTGTTTGGGCCACTGGTTGGCTGCATTTTAAACCATAAAACTTGACTTACCTGCAAAAGGAACAGTGTGGCTACGAGCTTGAGCTTTAATGGAATATACATCCTCACAGGAAAGTTGGAAATAACCAAAACTGAAGTCTTAATTTACCTTCAGTTTAATCTGTGGATTTCTACGAATACTAAAGATCCTCAGGTCCAGAATTCCAGCATCATTTATTCTTTTAAAATAAATTTTTAAGAACTTGATCCATTGTATCAGTACCTCACAATCAGAGTTGGCAAATGATGGATGAGTGATTCAAGCAATGCACCAGTGGAAGCGGAAATCCATCTGCGAATGGAACTGAAGTGAACGAATGTGCTGACTACATCCTAGAAGCATTTTTATACCATCTTGAAATTTCAACAGACTGGCTTTTGCCAGTTTATCCAGCTGTCGTTCAAGAATAAAAGTTGGGGTTTTCAAGGATCGCCTCTTCTATATTTTAAGTGGATTTTCAGTAGAAATGATTTTTACTAGTCAAGTTAATCCCACTCCCATCGAAAGGTATTCCTAGAAATGTCATAGACCTAGGTAACTTTGAATTGAATGAGAGCTCATGTTCTTTCCAAAGTTTTCAGGTATTCTTGGTGTGACACTTTCTCAACAGGAGGCAAGTAACTCCACCTCCACAATCTTAGTATTTTTTTTAACTGCATGCCTGCCCTTCATTTGAGCTGCCTTTTTAATTTATTGCATATCCTTTTTATTATCTTATTTTGGTATTATTCAATCTATACAATCTTTTTGTATTTATTGGGAAATAAGTAATATACAAAAAGGTTTTCATGTATCTGTGGCTGAGATCGAGGGAAATAATTGTGTATATAAATTAGGCTTTTTTAAAAATAGATTATGATTCACAATATTGTTGATCTTAGATTTAAACAACAACAAAAAGTGGAAGAGCCACAAACATTGGTGCCCTTTTCAGACTTTCTCTACTCTCATCATCCACAGTAGAATTTTTAAACAGATTTTTTTAAAAGCTTTTCTTTTAAATTTTTCTCCGTTGCAAAGAATGTTTCCTAAATTGTATGGGAGCAATAGTATTTTTGATGTTTTAATGACATCCGTATACTTGTACTGTATTTTGTACTACAAGGCAGCTGTTTTCAATAATGTCCTGCTGTATTTACCTATGTGTTTTGAGTGTTTATTTCTTTGCTGCGGAGAACAAATTCCTAGTTTTAGTAAAGGAGCTGAGAAGCTAGCATTAGGTTTGCAGAAACTGCTTAAGTTTCCAACTCTGAGGCAGCAATGAAAATTAAGTTGCAGCCATTAGTTGATTGCTGTAACTGTTGCGCTTTCAAACCATGTACAATTCCTGTATAGACCAACTTGTTTTCTTGCTTCGGTGGTTCTGTTGCTCAGCTGCAGTGAGCCAGTTCAATTTTGCAAAGGTGCAGTACCTCTCCTTTTCAAGGGGTTGGTTTATTTTTCTTTTTGTTTGGCTGAATTGCAGTGACTAGCCTTGCCATTCTACTCTGTAGAAATGACAGGGTCTTCACAATCCTTCACCAGTGGCTACTAAGCTATAATTAGCTGAATAGAAAGAATGTGGAAGTGGTCTGAGGCATATAGAGCAATATGCCAAGAACACTACCATATATGGCATCAGCTTTGGTTACCAGAGAAATTTTCTTAGTCATTAGACCATATAACAGTAATATATCATATGTAAATCTTTAGATATCAATTTGAGAATCCTCCAAAAAAAGGAGCAAAGAATGCATAAGCTATGTGTTGGCAAAAGTAATTTATATTAAAATTTTGACCTGCCTATGTAAGATTTAAGTGGTAAATGTCATAGTGGTGGGTTTTTAAGTCTTAACCAATCTCTAAGGTTTATTTCTCCTGCAGAGGGTGGTTAGCAGCCTCTCTTCCCGCTGTAGGAAGATTGCAGAAGGTTGTAGATTAATTGTAGCATTTCACTGATCCTCATTCCAGTGGCTAGGGATAATGGAAACCTGCAAATCACAGAGATTCGATCGTAAATATGAGTTTCTTGAAGGAAATGGTCTTTGTCAGCCCCAGTGAGACGATGGCATTGTACAGAGTATGGGAAACAACCAACTTTTTTTGTTTTTCGCGCTGAGTGCTGTTTATGTTAGTACTCTGAAGGATTTAGAGGTTTTTAAATTTGGCAGGCATCCCAGATAATCAAAACAGTTGTATTCCTGAGAAGCAGGGAACTCTAAAGCTCCTTCAAATAATCGGTGGAAGGTTTGTTTTTCTAACTACCTTAACTACCGAACGAGAAGTCGGATTTTAGGAACAGAATGAGATCCTGCTCCTTTCTGGTTTCTATTGTCCCTACCCATCGTTTTAGCAGTGAAACAGCAGTTGTAGTCAGCAAATTTTTCAGTGCATATGCTGCACACAAAACAAAACACAAATCTGTATGGCACCAAAAATCCAAGTGAAAACTAAACCAAAAACCCAGACACCCTATGTAACTGTTGGAGGCATGTAGGTGGTACCAGTGACAGTGGCCTCCACGGCTGCTTGTCATATGTCACTTTCCATAATTATTTACTGCAGAGTGACTGAGAGGCTCGTGGCGCAGGCAGCCATTAACCTCCTGCTCCCTTTGTTACCACTGGGTCACTTTGCAGTAAATTGCAGGTCTTTTAAGAAAGTCAAGCTTCGGTTTTCTCAAAACAAAACAATTCTCCTGTCTTATCTGAAAATGCAGGGTTGTGGGCAGAAGAGGCTGGTTATAATAATGCCCTCATATTGAGTGGTCTGTAAACGGCAGCACACTTCCGGCACGACAGTCGGTCGCTCAGACGCTGTGTGAATGTGACCTTGACTGGCTTTCCAGGGGGTCGGGTGTAGTCTACCTGAGGTGACTGTGCTGTGTCTGCGTTGCGCTCGAGGTAGAGGGCGCCAAGGGGAGGCTGGAGTGTGTAAGCCATGCACATAAGTATTCTTCACTGTAAATTTTGTTTTCATTTATAACCCAATTATGGTACTTTGTCCAATGCACAACTGATCTCTCAGTAGATATTCATTTGAAAATAGTGTGGCCTTGATGAGTGAGAAAGGGAGGAGAGAAGTGGCTTTTTCACTGATGTAAAAATGCTGAGAGTGGCGACTTTGCGGCACTCTTGGTGTGGTTTTTGATCAGTCTCCTTTTTGATTGGGGAAAGTCGATGTTTCTGACCCTGAAGATAACCTAATTGAGTTTTCTTCTGTTTTTAGGAAGTATCAGAATTGCTCTGATGAAAAACAAAGTTGACTGCTTTGATATCCAATCTCAGGTTTTAAAATATAGTGGTGTAAAATCCCACTATTGTGATTCAAACAATTTTAATTTCGTGTACCCAGAAGTCACATACGAAGGCCTGTTCACCAAGCAGAGCCTCCATCCTTTTGCTCCTTTTCCGCTCTGTACTTCACTTGAAAAAGTCAAGTGAGCTTGCATTGTATATTTCCATTTTAACCCTGGCATTTCTCAATGATAAAGCACTTTTTGATCATGAAATACATGGAATCGTTGTGTGATGTGGATCATGGTTTCTCAGGCTCCCCCCTAGATAATCTGCTTATGAATATTGTTCTAACTCTGTGTCAGAAGAGTAGAAATCTTTGCTAATGTTAGGAAGTTTGTATTACTGATCCAGAATGCATTTTGCTAGTTTCCAATGGATGGGAGAGTAAACAATGCTGCATTCACAATTTAATGAGTTACTTTCCCTCGAGCCTTAAGGTAATTTTTTTTTTCTTTTCTGTCAACAACAGCACTGAAGTTATAGTAAATGAATGAGATTATCTGTTTTCAGGGTTGGTTTTAGAGTACTGTAAATCAATTAGCTGTCTTCCTAAAGAGTTTCAACTCCTGTTCAGTAGACTGGATAGTGGGTGTGTAGGGTGGGTCTGGGGTGGGGGGGAGATGGTTTGTAGAAAAGAAAAGAGAAAAAAAAGAACCATGTTTACCTTTAGAAAATAGAGATGAAAAAGCAAAAGGTCATGTCCTATATTCTGTTTGATGTTCCAGAGGTAACGAGGAAATGACACATATAACTTCATTTCCCCTTTTCTTTACTTAGAGAAACAAAGACATTAATTTTAAAATGTTAGTCCCCAGAAGTTCTAAGAGATAACTGGACTCTGGAGTGGTGAGTTTTGGTTAAAGTCCTCTGGGCCGGTCATAATGGATTTAACAGACTGAGTTTGAACAAATGGTCCAGGTGTCAGTATTAAAAATTAAATTTGGAAAAATAATAAAATGTTGTCATGAAGTCTTGTTCCCCTAGTGATTCCCAATTAATATCTATGTCCCAATCCACGTAAGGCCTTTATGAATGTATTTTATATTTCCTGGTGAAATAGGGAGTATGCCATCAAGGTGATCTCTAGTCGCAATCTCTCATCTGAAGCTCTAGTGAGACATTCCAGAGGAGCCATGTTCCAGCAGCAGATACCAGGTTGCTATCTTACTGCTCAGTAGGAGTAAAGAGTTGGAGTAAAGAGACGGCAGAACTTGGTGAGAAGCTGACATGTTAGCCATTTTCTTCCGTAGATGATTCTAACAGTTTAAGGAAAGTTTTTGGCTTTTTGTTTTGTTTTCTGGATGAAAGATTCTAACTTTCAGAATATGGGACTTTGAATTAAGGAGCCAGTTTCACTTTCCCCATGTTATTTAACATTCACTGCATAGATAAGAGGCGACTGACCATACCTTTTTTGTGTGATGAAATGTGGGTCCCAGGTACTGGAGAGAAAGCCTAGTCAGTGGTGTTAGCATTCTGCAGAAGGCAGGTTATGTCTTTTTTTCCCCCTGTACTGTCAGTAGCTAAGAAAATTTATTTGGGTGCTGTCCTATTTTTCTTAAGGCAAAATATTTTATCTACTTCTATTGCAAAATCGGGATGGTTAGTAAAATCTTAATATTTGGAAATAGAATGGTGAGTGGTTTATTTCTCCATACATTTTTTTTCAAAGACAAAAAACTATAGGGAAGGTTCCAAGAAATTTTAAAAGAACAGGATTATATCACTAAACATTTGAAATTTGAGTTTCTTTTTGTTGTTTTTGAGACAGGGTCTCATTATATGGTGTAGGCTGGCATTGAACTCATTTATGTAGCCCAGGCTGGCCTGGAACTCACAGTAGTCCTGCCTCAGCCTCCCAAGTGCTGGGACTATAGGCGTGTGCCATCACACCCTGCAGGAGTTTCATTTTAAACTGATACTAAGCATAAACCCTTTCTCTGACCTGACACCCCCTGTGGACAGAATCTCTGGCTTCCTAAATGTCATTGATTGGGCAGAAAGTCTAGGAATTATGTTTAAATCAGCAGATACTTTCTACCAGGAGTCTGTGGACTTACAGATCTTGGTAGCAGGCAGGTCTTTATGTTTCCAAGACTTAACCGTGTCTCAGTAGCAACTAAGATTGTATGAGGTATGGACTTCCCTCTTCTGAAGCCATTCTCTGGAACAGTCAGGTTGATAGAGATGGACTCTCCCTTTGGAACTTTCATCCAGATGTCTTTCCAAGACTATCATAAGAATCACCCATCTTGCGACATGTTTCCCGACACCTGGCTCGTTGCGTAGGCATCTCTCTGCGCCTGCACTGGGACTGCCAGGGATGCAGAAGTCATTTAAGTGAATTAAAACCAAATCTTGGTAGCAGGAAACAGCTTCCTGACCTAGATGTACAATTAGAGTGTAGGTTGGAAACTACTTTAAAAAGGGTTTTTTTGGTATGTCTTCAATCTGTGTAAATACCAGCGTGCTTATTATGCATTGTAAACCAAGTGTGTTTGCCTATGTATAAATTTGTAGAACTGATTTCTGCTTCAAGTGAAGCCGCACCTTTCATTTTATAAGGTCCCCTCCACCTGGAACCCTATACCTGTTTGTAAATAGAACACTAAAATTTGTAGTGCTAGGATCAATTTGGGAATATCTGCTGAGAGACCAAAAAGTTCATTTTTTTAAGTACCTTGGTTAAAGAGTAAAGATTATTCCTCTTGCTTATTTTGTAAAAGAAGAATGCACTTTAACAAACAGCTGCACGGGCAATTGAAACCAACCGTGAGGTGCAGCACCCATTCAGAAATCACCCTTCCTGAAAACGTTCAAAGCAGAGTCCGGGCGGGCTGTTGGCCTCACTGCCTGTAGGTTGAAGCTCAGATTCTTACCAGTTTGGAGACGAGCAGGGCTGCTTGGAGAAAGCGATGTGAATCCAGCCAGAAGCTTCAGACAGGTCTGTAAAGTGGCGGGTCCCGTATTTACCACTAACAAGCAAAACTGACAGAAAAACTCACAGAAAAAAGTCTAAGAACCCTTCCTGCTGGTGTGCACTCCTTATGATAGCAGACTTTTGCAAATGGAGTTTTACAGTCTATATTTAAAAAATTGTATGTTTGTAACAAATAAAGTATGCGGAAAAGTGAATGACAACCTTGTGACCGTGTCTCTTCCTTCAGGGGTCATAGGGCGACCCACCTAGTAGGGGGCTCACTTGGGGCATCTCAGAGGGGGGCTGGGCAGGTGCAGAGCTCAGCCAGTGCAAAACCAGAACTGCCAGTGAGCTGCAGGCTTTGTCTCACAATGCACACTGGTTTCATCCCCTAGCTTTCCTTGTGTCCTTACAGTGGCTGGCAGGAAGCTGCCATCCCAGCTGACTCCTCGGCAACAGCCTTCTCCTGCCCCAGTTTTAAAGGAGAGATGAAACCGTGTAGTCTATTCTGAGTTTGCTGTTGGGTTTTGTTCTTTGTGTGGAGTCTCCCTGCATCGCCCAGGGTGGCAGTCCTGCCTCAGCCTCCCAGGTGCTGGGATTGCACATGTGTGCCACGATGTCAAGCCCATACCTGGAGAGTGTTTCTGGACTGTATGTGCAGATACCTGTGATGTTAGAAAGGAGATTTTTCAAGACACAAATAAGGGCACACATTGGGTCTTCTCAGCGGTGACATCACATTGTTCAGTCCCTGGAGAATCCTTATGGGCTAAAAACAGAAGTGGAAAAGGCTGTGACCCTGTCACTGAACAGTTTCACCCTCAGACTCTGGAAGTTCCAGGAACCCCTTGGAACCCTGGACTACCCTTTGAGAACCAGTGGCCTGGACAATTCATTACCCTCTGAAAAGCTGTGAAGGCTGAGACCCTGTAGTAATCACTGCCTCAGCTCCCTCTTTCTTCCGCTTCCAGACTCTGGCTGCACACAGACCCAGCACACGCAGGCTGCGGGGTGCATTTGCACCCAGCAGTGCCCCTGCTCCGCACAAACTGCCCAGAGGCACTGCCCCTCCTCACCCCCTGATGACTCTAGGGTATGGTCAGGGAGGACACTAAAGGGTAAGGAAGGGGCGGAGGACTGGGAACTCGTGCCAGAAGAAGCAAGCCAGTGAGCACCACAGCCCTCAGTTTCTTGGGGGACGCACACGGCCACTGACCCCTAAAAATGGCCCCATCTTAAGCTTCCAGTGAACTCTGGGGCTGAGACAGGAGGGTCACCACTGTGTGCAGCCAGCCTGTACTACTAAGTCTGTCCAAAGATAACGAAAAGAGTCCTTTTGCATTGGTGTCGGTAGTGCCCTGCTGGGAAAATCGGGTTCGCAGGCACGGGGAGCCCTTAGCATGCCCCTGGAGTCGCCAAGAGTCATTGAACCGGGGACACCTGAGGTCCTGACTCGGCTCCCAAGGAGGGCTAGCCCGCCAGGCCCAGAGTGGGCGCACTGGCTGGGCGCTGGGGTTCTTAGTAGCTGTCCCCAGTTCAAGGCCCAAAGGGCCACACTGAACAGCGGCTCCAGGAATAGGTTCTGGGTGCTGCTGAAGCCGTGAGCGAGGTCCCACCCCTGAGACCCCACACACACCCCGCCGTCCCCAGCCAACAGTGAGATCCGGGCAAACAGCTTTCACCCACACAAACCTCCAGGTGCCGAGTGGTCACAGGCTTCCAGAGAGTCCAGTGTGACTTGGGGAAACGAGAGCCACCTGGTGGTCACTAACAAAATCATTATCAGATTCATTTGCCAATTTGCTCCTTACTGTGCGGGGGCAGAGGACAAGACTCAAGGTCCGAACGGAGCTTGCAGTTTAGTAACGGGAAGAGGAGCAGGAGAAAGCTAGGAAGATCCAGTCTCCCCAGCTTCTAACTGAACCGCAGAGTGTCACATTCCCAACCCGAGCCTTCACCCCTTCTAAGGGACAGCACCTCTGAAACTGAAGAAAAAGAGAGACTTAGCCAGGTGTGATGGCGCACACCTATAACCCCAGCACTCAGAAGGCTAAGGCAGGAGGATCGCTGTGAGTTGGAGCCCACCCTGGGTTACACAGTTAGTTCAAGACTGGCCTGAACTACATAGTGAGAGTCCATCTTAACAAAATAAAATGCTATATAGTCTCCTATCAGAAGTGAAGAGCCTACAATACTCTATTCAATTATGAGTACCAGCTGGTCTCTCTTTTTGTTAAAATTGTACTTTCTAGGGGCTGGGGATTTAGCTCAGCGACATAAGCACCTGCCTTGCAAGCAGTCAGTCGTGAGTTCGATCCCTGGTACCGATAAAAAACGAAAAAGATTTTTTAAAAATTGTATTTTCTTTATTTAGTTGCTCAGTGTCAGGGAGCAATGGCAACCTGAAAATAGTCTCACTCTCTGCTGCTTTTCCTCCCATCGTTGATCCATAGCTGAGAAAGAACCATGTTCACAGATAACAAGAGATCTGGAGGGCTGAGGACTTAGCTCAGTAGTGTAAGTACCTGCCTGGCAAGCACAGGGTTGTGAGTTCAATCCCTAGTATCAGGGGGGGAAAAAAAGAGGCCAGGAATATAGCCCTGTTGCATAAGTGCCTGCCTGGCAAGTGCAGGTCGTGAGTTCAACTCCTGGTACCAAAAATAAATAAGGATGTGCATTCATTCACTTACTCAACCACAGGTCACAGTTCCCAGTGAAGTCTGGGGAGGATGGATCCAGTCTGTGAAGCCCACAGGGACACAGGCCAGGCCCTAGACCTGGCTGAGCAGATTTCCACAGCTCCTAGGCTTGAGACCTCCAGGAAGCCCTCTGAGGGAGGTGGGATACAGGCCTCTCACAGGGAGCTAACCCCGGCCCTTTGTGTTTAATTTGTTTTTGTCTTTTTGAGACAGTCTTGCTACGCAGCTCAGGCTGGCCTTAGGCTCACTTTGTAGCCCCAGCTGGTTTCAAACTTGCAAGGATTCTCTTGCCTCAGCCTCCAGAGAGCTGAAATTACAGGCCACCACACTGGGCACCTTTAATTATTTTGAAACAGTTTTGTCTTACAAAATTGCTAACTTACCCAGGCAGGGCTCAGATTTGAGATCCTCCAATTTCAAGCTCCCAAAAGCATTGACAGGGATCACACATGGACTGCCACGTCCAGACTCCAAATTTTCTTTGATTACAAAATTCATACTCACTTATTTTAACAAATGTGTGTGTGTATAATCACTGCAGGAAAAGCAAGTGTGTCCAAATCCACTCTATAAAGATAATATCCATGCATCTTCCATGGTGAAATAAAAAGAAAAAAGATAATATCTGGAATGTTCATAGGCTTCTCTTTTTTCCTTTTTCTTTTTTTTTTCAAACTGTCAATATCATTTTTCACATAGATTAATATTTTGAATGTTACATTTCTGTAAAAATAAAAAGGACTCAGAATAGTCTAAAAAACTTTGATAAAGGAACAGAATTGGAGCTACAACCCTCCCCAACCCCATAACTTATCCCAAAGTTACACCAATCATGCCAAAATGGCATTGATATCAAGATAGATAAACCACCAAAGTACCAATATGAAATCCCAAAATAGATATCCACATAACAGACAATTGATTGCTGGTGAAGATGCAAAAGTAACTAAGTGGAAAAAGGATTATACTCTACTATATATACTGGAACAACTGGATATCCACATGCAAAAAACCAAACCTTATAACACATCAAAAATTTCTTAAAACATCCAAAAGTCAATTTAAAATGGCTCACAGTGGATCAAAGTGAAGGCAGATATGGCCTGAGTTGCTGCATGGTGGAAGTCATTCTCTTTGGGACGAAATAAATGTTTTTTCCTTATCATAAGTAATGAAATAATGTAATGATTATGCATGTGTGACATTTATTTCACTAAGTTGTTTTCAAGGCACATTCACTAACCTATGAAAATGTCCAGTTTATCATTATTTATGGCTAAATAGTATTCCATTGTATAGAAATATCACATTTTTTATCTATCCCTCAGTCAATGGGTATTTAGGTTGTTTCCAAGATCTGGCTATTATAAACTGTGCTATAAACATGGGGGCACATATATCACTGTGATATGATATTTTTAATTCTTTTTTTTGTCTTTTTCTTTTTTTATCGGTACCGGGGATCGAACTCACAACTGCCTGCTTGCAAGGCAGGCGCTTATGCCGCTGAGCTAAACCCTCAGCCCCTGATATTTTTAATTCTTTTGGAAAGAATCTTTATTAAAGAAGAGAAATTTTCTTCTTTATTAAAGAAGAGAAAAACCTCCAATCCTAGTTTTTTGAGGAATCTCTACACTAATTTCCACAGTGGTTGCACCCCCATCAACAGTGGAGAAGGGTTCCTTTTTCCTCACAGCCCCTCCAGCATTTGTTATTGGTTGGTTTCTTAATAACAGCCATTCTTTCTAGGGTGAGGTGAAATCTCAGTGTTGTTTTAATTTGCATCTCTCGATTGATTGGTGCTGTTGAACATTTTTTCACATATTTACATATTTCTTCATCTGAGAAGTGTGAGTTCATCTCAGCTGCCCATTTTTGGATTGGGTCTTTAAATCTGGGAGGACTGTTTTCTTTTTAGTTTTCTATACATTCTCAATAATAATCCTTTACTGAGGAACAGCTGGCAAACATTTTCTCCCACATAGTGGGTTGTCTCTTCACTCTGTTGGTGGTTTCTCTTGCTGTGCAAAAGCTGTTCAGTAGGGTGAGATGCCATTTGTTGATTCTTTGCGATAGTTCCTGTGCACACTGTTTTATTCATGAAGTCTTCGCCTACGCCAATGTCATCAAGAGTTTTACTTACTCTGTCTTCCAGAAGATTTAGTATTTTTTTTAATATTAAGATCATTAATCCATTCTGACTTTAGCTTAGTACAGGGTGAAAGATACGGGTCCAGTTCTAATCTTCAGCACATGGAAATCCAATTTTTCCCACATGATTTATTAAAGAGACTATCTCTCTTCCAGTGAATGTGCTTGGCACCTTTATCAAAAATAAGATGGCCTAGTGTGTCTGCAGTTATTTCTGTATCTTCTAATGTATTCCATTGATCTTTAGGTCTGTTTTTTTTTTGCCGGTACCACACTGTTTTTATCACAGTAGCTTAATAGTAAAATTTTAAGTCTGGGATTGTGATGCCCCTGTCTTTGTTGACTAGTATAGCCTTGATATTCTAGATCTC